GGCTCCTTAGGGATCCTTAAGTTGGAAATAAATATTATGATGGATATCCAGTGCCTAGTGGGGAAGATGGATAACAACACATAAGTAATGGGTTAGGAAAACTTTCTGAAAAGGCCAGATCTAGCAGATAAAAAAGGCTATGGTTCAACATCATTAACAGAAATGCTTATGAAAAAGAAGTAGTCGCTAGGGAGAAAAGCTGCCTTATTTCAGTTCTTTCAGATTTTGCTAAACAACGTGTTTGAGAAATGTGGAGTAACTGACAACTTAGCACTTGTCAGTAACTAACAACACTGGAACAGGTTGCCCAGAGAGATTGTGGAGTTTCTGTCCACAGGGATACTCAAAAACTGGACACAGTCCTGGGCAACCTGCTTTAGCTGACCATGTTTGTGCAGGGCGGTTGAACCAAATGATCTCCAGAGGTCCCAAATCCAACTATTCCGTGATTCTGTGATGGGCCATTAGCCTCTGAAATCTCACATGAAACACTCAGGACTCAGTTAGTGAAGAGAGGTTGATGGCTAGATGATGCAGGCCCCTATACCCTGAGCCTGCCCTCTGTGAAGAAGTGAGAAAATGAGAAGCCCTGGAAGACTTCCCTTGAGTCCTCTCTCCCCGCACTGCTCTTCCTGCCCTATGTTAGACCCTGTCTGAGGAGCGGGGAAGTTGCCTGAACATGTCAAGAGGTGTGGGTCTGCATTTACTGCAGTAGGTGTGCTGGAGATCTGTGCTTTACTGAGCCCTTTGCTCTCTAAGGGTGATGGGCAGGAAAAGCCATGTGACAAAAGTATTGAGAAAAAGAGGGGAAAAGTCTTCACCAACGTTGTGCACCTAATGCACATTAGATCCCAGTCTGGACAACACTTCTTGTTATCGGTTCCACGAAAGCCTGCCATGTGTATATTTATAAGGTAGCATCATTTTGAAAGTGTCATTTATGATAGCTGATCTGGCTTGGGTGGAGATGTGGAAAGGCGAGTGCCAGACCTATGTGCATGTATGGACATGAATGACAAGGTGCTTGAAAAGATGCTGTCAGATTTGGGACCGTCCAGCATCTGTCTGAATTTTCCCTTGTACTTTCATCTGCTTCTGTCTTGGGAGCTGCTGTCTCATCAGCAGAATTAAACCAAGACCGGGTACACTTCTCATATTGATATGAGAAAGTTGTTTTCAGTTAGAGCATTTAAAAAATCATCTATATCAAAACAAACATTACCATGTTATTTATTGAAATAATTTGACTTAAAGCTGGATTCAGCAACAACATCTGTATCTTCTTCAGCAGTTTAAGTCTAGGATAAATCACTGTAGATAAGCTTGCAAAAATTTCTTTTTCCTTTTCATCATCATTTCTAGGAGGAAGGTCAGACTGCTCCTGCCTTGTAGAAGTGGGAATGAGCACATGTCCCTTCTGAAGTTCTTCCTAGCCCCAGCTTCTATGATACTCTTAATTCCTTCTGATTTTTATAAATGTGCTTCTAGAGCTGAGGACAGACTAAATATTTTGCATTTTCCTCATTTTTCCTGAAACCGAAAGTCTGTATTTTGGTTTGGTAGGCATCTCGTTCTGTTCTAGAGGCTAGGATGTCAAGAAGATGATGGAAAAATTTCCTCCCTGTGGAACTTAACACATCCCATTTTCTATTGTTTACTTCAAACACAGTATATTAAACTCCCAGCATCAACAGCTGCCTCAAATTTTTATTTATATGAATAAAATATGAAGAAAAGGAAAAAAAAAAAGTCTTTCTCATCATGCTACTGAAGGAAGAAAACTGAAAATTCTACCAAATGCTAACAGTGTCACAAAATTATTGAATAACTGCTCAAGAATAGGTCTGAAAAACATGGTAAATAGGTGCAATCATGTAAGGCAGAGCTCCGTAAAATGAAAACAAAATATGTATGCATTAGTTCAGTGATGTGAGTGGTATACTTCATGAGAAATGTAAGCAGAATTGCAAAAATTCCTTAAAATGAGGTACAATTATAATTCAAGGCATGCTTTCAAGGATAGAAAAAGAATCCATTTTATACCGAGATTCTTAACCATTTTTTATTAGATTTATTCTTACAGAGCATATGTTGAAGGACTTTAATCTGCCATTTGCTGTGCATCCCTAGGAATCCTTTCCCTGTTATGAACTTCAGCAGCTTGTGAAAACTGACGGTCCAGTGCATTTTTCAGATTTTTTAACAGCCGGCACAGTCAGTCCCAATCTCCTCATTGTCACAGGATTAAAGAACTGTTGTAGAACAACAATAGTTTTGTGTCTAAAGTCTGGGACACCCTGTTCATAAACCAATTTTTTGACATCACTGAGCTCCTGCTTCTGTCTGTGCTGCAAATTCCTCACCAACAAATAGGGGTAAATGTGCGCTGGCCTCCCAGACCTGCTCTTATGCTGGATTTATTCTTCCAAGGTGTCTATAAAGCATAGAGATGAAAGGTGCTGCCCATATGCAAAGCCTGAGCTTGGAATAAAAACTTTGATGTTTAATATAGACCCTGTATTTCTCAATTTTACTACTCAGATCACAATGAAATTCATGTAAAAATATGCAAGGGGGCAGCAGGGATATGTCAGTTCATTTAGTAGACTGAAAAAAACAAATCATTTTTTCTCCCTGCTGTTTCCACAAGCAATTTTAGGTTTTGCTTTGATGACAGTTCAACTGCAGATGGCCAGATGGGATTCCATTTGCAGTTTGTCAATATACTTTTTAATTTCTCAGCTACTTTACAACGGAAAGTTGAGTCCTAATTTGATGCTTGTAGAAAGGGAATTCACATGTCTATAATGAGTTTTATCAAGGAATTTATCATAATGGAACGGTCAATAAAGATCGCTTGATGAACTTTCACATGACCCCTTTGAGACTGACATATGATATGATAAGCTTTTGGCAGATGAGACAAGTAGGATGACAAAACTTATAAATGCTAGCACAAAGTCAGTGGCTCTGAAAGATTTGTTTCTACATCCTGCGTTCTCAAACCTCTGACTTAAACCAACAGACATGTATGTTCATCTAAAACACTTCAGTGATGAGTAGGTTTTGGCACCATTGCCATTAATATCTTTTTTAAATTCTTTTACCTCTATTCAGTCACCTTGAAGGGAGAAAGAAAATAAACCACAAAACCTAAGGTGACATTTCTAAAAGTTATCAATTCTCTGCATACCAACTTCCCACTATATCCTCCATGTTTTCTACCTACAGATAGGAGTAAAAAGAAAATCTCATGGAAGAATAGTCAGTATTCATCACATTTTGAGTTCTGAAAATGAAATGTCAGAGAGAGTTCTATGGAAATGTCAAGAACACATGGGAAAAAATTTAATGTATTAAGAGCTTGCTTTCATTTGTCTCAGTTTATCTGAATAGCTCCAACTGGAATGCTTTGCCATACATCCCAGCCTAGACTGTTGCAGCTGGTGAAGCTAGTGTGGTTTCTAAAGTGAAACCCTGAATACCATGGACATTTGAACATATTCCCGAGTTCAGTTACACACTTTTTTAAAAACAGGCTTTAAATGAGGCAGAAAGTATCCCAGAGGTTTAGCAAGTTTAATGATATGCCATAATGTTCAAAAATTTCTAAAAAAGGATAATCTGCTAATTAGTACCTTTGATGTCCATCCAAAAAGAATTCTGCAGATGGGCGTCGAAAGGAATTTGCATGCCTGTGAGGGTGAAGTAAGTCCCCAATCAAGACTATTTGGATAGACGGACTGATAACTAAAAGAAAATGGAAAAGAACATTAACAATAACAAGAACAAAATCCTGGTTACATAATGTTGGCTTGCAGGAAAAAAAGAAAAAAAAAACAAAAAAACCAGTTTAAAATTGCTCCTGCTAATAAGACAGGAAAAATAGTGAGATATTTGGACCATCATTATACTAGCAAAGGGAAATGACTTCTCACCTCTCAGAAGAGAGAGACACAGCATGTAGCAATTTCTGCAGGGCAGCAATAGAAAAGGGAATATGCTGTAGAGAAACAAGACCAGTTTTCATGGCGATCAGGTGCGTGAAGATACAGAAGATCAGTGGACCAAGAATCTCAGCAGTACTCTCACGTGCCCACACAGGTCAAATCAGACAAAGATTTGGCATGTGGTCTCTGGGCTCCCATCCCAGGTTAATGCTGAATGACCAGTAGAGGCTGACATCTCTAGCAGTGGTCCCCAAATGAATTTTACTCACAAGAGTTTGCAGTGACACAAGTTTCTTCAAAATAAAGAAAACAAGGATTATTTATTCTCAGATTTATAGTCTTACAGTATGTACAGGAAAGCATTACAAGATCAGAAATGTTAATGTTAGCTAAATACCCTTGGTCTAGTCTGCTGAGCATGTGTAAGTTCCTGTTTGCCAAGGTATCCACGGTTCTGGCGTGAGAAGGCAGCTTTCTGTATCTAGAAAAAAATGCTCTGTTTTGGTATTTATTTTGCCCACCTACTCTTTAGCTTCCTGGACACCCAGGGTCAGATTGAAGGTCAAGGATTCCCTCTCATCTTGCTTTTCCAAAGCGTGACAAGCTTAAGTCTTAGCTTGGTGGGATGTGAGGTGGGACATTCCCCAGCTAATGTCTCCTCTGTTTTGTTCCCTAAGGAACCTGAGTCGTTGATATGCCATTTCTACTAGTCTCTTCTAACAAGTTCTTTGGTTTAATACTTTGCATTCAAGTATCACAATAGAATGTGGGTATTATGAGGGTTTTACAGAAGTAAGATACTTAGTTCTCACAAGGACAGATGAATGTTTTTGCTTGGATATTATCTTAACTGTCCCATGCGAAAACATCACAAGCCATGATAAAGGACATATTGCAATGTGAGTGTTGACTCTTTTTCAGCAGCAGTTGAAGAGAGCTATGTGATTAAGAGAAGAGAGGAAAAACATGTCTATTTATGGTGCAGTGCAGCAGTCAAGTGATATACTTTACACAAAAAAGAAAGAACCACTAAAGTGAAAATATTCCTAGTTTTCCATAGGAGAGTGCCAACTTGTCTACTTGTCTACAGAAGCAGAATTTTCTTGAACCTGGAGCAGGGATATCTGAATTATACCACTAACTCTACTAGACGTTTCCAGTCTTACTTTGAGGAAGAAGAGGCAGACAGTTGACCTTGAACTGTCAATTACACCCAGAAGGATGAGAGTCAAATGCTACCAGATAAGATGGTGAGATTTTATTTTCACTCATTATAGATTTGCCAAAGGACTTGTTCCAAAGCTAGCAAAAATCAAAGGGAAGGCCTTTACGTTCATTGATTACAAAGTTGCCTATGACCTCAGGCTTCAGTTCAACAAATTACTCAGACGCATGCCTAACTGCCATTAAAATCAATTGAGATTGACAGGTTTTAAAGAAGTTCTTAAGATTAAGAATACATTGAAGTACTTCACTGAAACAAGGTTAAACTAGCTGACTACAAAAGTAAATAAGACTGTTAGTTTTGCCTACCCTGAATTGTTCCCAATTTGTAATTTCTTCAGTGCTTTTATTAACTGCAAAACGCTTGATCTCATGCCATGCAACTCACATCATGATCTACACAAGTACAGGCTATAGGAGTAATAAACAGGATTCAGTGCTCTGTTCTGGACCATTCTCAATTATAAATCAGATTATAGGAATTACTAAGGAGTGAATTCATCTACCATCCATTTTTTTTTAAAGATTCATTTTTTTGGATGAGCAGGAGTAGTCCCAGCAAAGTCAATGGAATTTGTCTGTGGAAAAATTGCATTAGTTTGCCCATTCTCTGTTCTGATACCCTATTTTTAAGGGAAGGGCTTTGGATTTAATTTGCTCAGGATATTTAAGAAAAGGGTTAATGATACTGAGTTAGAAAAGTTTTAAATTTAAATATTCAGTTTGTATGAATTTTCTCTTGGGTCATTGATATTCATCTCTCACAGTCTGTGACATTTTATTTGTCCTGGGCTCCGAATAGCTGATGCTTCTTATGTTTTACTTTTCCCTAGCCTGCGAGGTCAGGCAGAGAAGAATTTGGCCACAGTGCACACGTGAAAACCTGGTAATGAGCTCTCCCTCTTTCAGATATGAGTTGTATCACTCTAGGGAATTTACACCTTTTTGTACCAGCAAGGAAGTTTCCCTCTCTGTTACTTTCTCAAGAACAGCTTCTGAGTAGGTCAACACAGTATCTGCATCGACTGCAGTGAACAGGGGAGAAGAATAAAGGTGCTTGGAGGGAGTCTGACAAGAGCTAGGAATATCTTTTTTTTGGCTCTGAAAAATAGATACTCCATCTTGGGGTAGAAGACGACAGTGATAAAGTCCTTCTCTGGGCAATTTCATCACTTGGGTAGATCTATTTTAAAGGCTACTTTTTGTTTGTTTGCTTGCTTTTTTCCCCCCCTTAAGTACGGTATAGTTAAATAGAATCTGGTTTTGTTGGAAAACCCTTTCCTTAATGTATTGATAGAGAAGCGTTACCAATATGCTGCTTTAAATTTCTTGAGGGAAAAGTATCATTATACTTTACCAATAAAATCAGTAAAGAAGTGACAAACTACCAGTTTTTAGACAGGTGTTTCCTATTCACTTATCTTCAATGGAAACATTCCTTTAAGTGTACTCTTAGAAGAATCTTGAAGTTATTTCTCAATTTTCACCTTTTATCTTCTTTCATGTTCCATGTTACCCATTACTGCTGCTAAGCTTCCATTTATCACTATTAGAAGAAACAACAAACAATCAAATAATCTGTTAACGTCCCTGGTTCTCATTTTACAAGATTTGCTGGCCAGTGAGTCAGCAACAGAGGCAGCTGTGTTCATTGCTCTTTCCTTTGAAAGTGTAATTTCTCTCTCCCATCCGAGAAAGACTTAGATTTTTGTTCCAGACTTAGCCCTTCAAACAAGATTTTGATGGAGGAACACACAAAAATCTGTAACAAAAGGAAATGGGAAGACATTAATGTCGTCTAGTGATGAGCCAAAATAAAAAATCTATCCCTAGAGAATTCAGTGGTCTTATACTGACCACAAAATAAATACATAGTGAGGAGAAAAAACAGAGCTGGAAGGCAAGTGCATTGACCTTGTCATTAGAACAAGTGCTGCATTGAAATTACTATAAATAGCCAAAATACCCATCTAGGCATAAGAAGACTAGCGGCTAGCTCTTGTCCTCAGTAGCAGTCTTTCTATGTATATTGAGCCTATCTCACTACACTTTAAAATTTTTATTTAAAGTCTAATTTCTTCTTCTTTGGCAGTTAGATCCACTGTGAATATGATAGATAATAGACAGGTTCTTAAACTTGTTTTTGAGTAAAAAGCGTAAAGTAGAAATGAATTCCAAAAAGCAGTGATAAAAACATATTATTTTTGCCTCAGAAATGGGACAAGCAGGTAACAAACCTGCCCACTGCTCAGGGATTTGGCCAGACTGCCAACAGATTGGCTTGTTCACATGTTTATTTTTCTAATATTCCAGCCGTTCAGAACACAGAAGGAATGGAACAGAGTGGGAAACTGTCAGAAAGATCACATAGATGGACAGATGAAATCATGATAGGTTTCATCAAATTTTTTTCCATGGAATATTTAGATTATGCTAAATTGTCATTTTTATTGTGAAAAATTGTTCTACTGAAAAAGAAGAAAAGGTCAGCTCTATTGTTAACATTTTATATTCGTTAGCAATTCACAGCAAGCAGGAAATTAGCACCTTTCACAATATTAAATCATGAACCAAGAGAAAAGTATCTGCACTGTTGAATAGTAATTTTTCAATATTTTTTTCCATTAAAATGGTCACTCAGAAGGCCAACTACAGTGCAGAAGGCGATGTAAAATATTCTTATAAAAATAAACAGTGTTTGTTTCTATTTGACTCAACAGTAATTTGAGTTCAACAGTAAAATTCTGGTGTTCACTCAGCTACTTTTTCAGAAAAAAAAGAAGATTTTCTTTACTATAAATAAATGTAAATTTTAAACTTTACTGTCCTCGTTTTTGCTGGTTTTCAATTGGTTTCATTCACAAGAACAAAGAGGAAGTCTGCACTCCGCATTTTTAGCAGAGGGATGAATCTCTATTTGTGCTAAAGTTCACCTTGTTCCAAACTGTCTAACACAGACCTACCTTCCGGCACTGGCTTTAGCTGAACCTGGAGAACAAGGCAGGAGACCTGGAGTGCAGTCAGCACGGGCACAGTCATGGGCATCCCTCTTTGGCTAACTCTTCCTCAGAAGTCCCATGCATCCCTGAGGCAGCAGAGAGGATGCCTAGGACTCTTCCTAGAAGTCTGTTCAGGTGCAGAAAGGCAATTTGTAGCTGCTCAGTCATAAGTTTCTTTGGTGGCAGCAGAGACAGTCAAGATACAGACAGGAGATCCTCTTACCTTGACCCTCTCCCTCACATATGTCCCTATGGAGAAAATAGCTATAGCTGTAGCGTTGAATGAGATTTTTTTTTTTTAATCTCTCACTAGTTAGACTCTTCCAAACAGCTTTAATTGTACTGAGTCGGACTCACCCACCGTGAACGGGCCTATGTGGTGTAAAGGAATGAGAATATGACCTAGAGAAATAACTGAATCATCATTCTGATCTGAATGGGCAAGTACTTAAATAGCTTAGTGACATACGTCTGGAAGCTAAGTACCACGGCAGGATGTTCATCAGAATGTTATGCCTTAGCGCGTATGTGACTTAACCTTTTACTGCACTATACCCCTGCTTAGCCTGCTTTGCTCTTTTGCAGTCTTGGATCTCCTTTGACTTGCTCCTTTCCAGTCTGTACCTTTGACAAGATCCTTCATATGTACATCTCTGAAAAGTGCATCGCTTGCTAACATCCTAATGCCTTCTACTAAAAGTTCCACATAACCCACGTATCTCCTAAGATAACTGAAGAAACCATTATGATGGGTCTGTGTCTTTGCTGAAGAGTCTGTCAGGCTTTAACTTTCTGCTTCTGTCCTTTCTATTGGTATAGTACCTGAAATTAGACTTTCAATAGAAGGGGTGAAATTTGTCAGATGAAAACTCTTCTTGAGACAAAATACTGATTTGGGTTGACTGAAATGGCCTTCAAGTTCATTTAATTGTTTCAGCTGGAAAAAACGTTTTTATGTCAAAACATGTTAGCTGAAAAAAAACACTTTTATTTTTTGTTTTGGAAAATATGCTTCAATATTAAATGTATCTAAATTTAATTTTACTAAAGACTGTGAAAGAATAACTTGTATTTCTTCAGTATAAACTATTCCACTTAAGCAATTTCAATGACTTTTTGTTTTCAATATCAAAACCAAACAGAAATTAATTTTGGATCAATCTGAATATTTTCCCTCTGTGGTTTGCCCATTAAAAATAAATGTACTACATTTCTCTAATCGTTATTTCAACAGGCCAATAGCCGGTCTTTTTACTGGTGGTTCTGAAATTGCTTTCTATACCATTGTACTGTAAAACATAACAGCAGCAGGAGGTCTGTTTTGATAAAGGAAGCCTTTCATTACTGACCTGAGCCATATTAGCAATGAAGACCCTACCTTGTGTGCTTCACCACAGAGATGTAAGACAAGGAGGGACCATCACCACGCCCAGGGTCCTCACTATTCCAGGCTGCCATGCAATAGCATTAGTTCGGATGTACACGTCCCCCCTCACCACCACCACACACACAGACTCACTCATCACAAGCCACACAGCATTTCTTGATAACCTTTAAGAGTCAAAATTAACAAAGCCTATAATATGCCATTGGAAGATAAAAGATTAGGCCCCGTATCTGAAGACTCTTCAATACAAGGTCTGTTCTGTCTTTGGTGCACCTTAGAAACGGTCTTGTCCCTGAATTTTTCAAAAGCCATTACTTTTATAATAAAATTCTTTCTCATAATACGAACAGCCTTGATAATCCACTCTTCTATGTAAAAAGTGCAGGGCAGTGTTTCCTAATGCAGCCTTAATATGCTCTTTGGTATGTTCAGACCTCTCTCTTTAGCACACAGAGGTGATCACATTTTCACTGACAAATCCTGTTTTGCAAGCTGAATTTTGTAGATAGAAATAATATGTAATTCATACGACTAACAGATTTTTTCAAGTTAAATGATGTTAACTCACAAAGAAAATTATAAGTTTATTTAAGATTGTTTATGAGTGTGCTTATATAGTAAAACCATTAAAACCATTCACCAAAATGGTTGTATTAGCTCATGGTCTTTGGCATAATGATTTTTGTGTGTTGTATATGTCTTCTTCACTTCCTATTACTGGTTGTCAACAGTGCCCTCATCCACAGGGATAGAGGTGACTTCACAATGCTGTAATAAAGGTGTGGCTGTTTTTATCATTGCTCTTCTTTTTTGCATTTATAAATATATTTATACTTGTTTCATGCATTCCAAGACATCATTTGGGGTGTTTACTAAAGAAAAAACCATTCTTATGTCTTCATAAAAGCAGTTTGTTGATAACAAACAGATTTTAACTAACATTTGGACCATCCACAATTTCAAAAAAACAGATGGAATCAATAATAAATGTTACACAGCACACATAGCTGTTTGCTGTGTAACAGAATATGTCTAACATAACAAATATGCCTAGAGTATAAAACAAGAAGAGAAATGAAAGAAAAGAAAGCAGAGAATGAACTCAAATGAATCAGTTAATAATGTTTACATACTACTATGATGTTTTCTTGGTCCTTACAATCAATAAAAAAATTTCCATGAGAAAAGAATTCAATATAAATGAAATAAACTAGTTCTCACAGTCAAATAAGGGAAAGAATCATGATAAAATATGAATCTGATGATATGAGTAAGCATCTGTGGATCCCTGTCCAAAAATTAAAAAAAATGCTTCTACTTTTGTGTACAATTTTTTTAAATTTAAAGGACAATACCGCAACTTTGAATCTTTGTTCAGGCTTCTTGTTACATTTTGATACACTTGCTGGTAAGGTGATCATCTCCTGTGCACTCTAGACTAGTTTACAGATTTGGAACAGTTCTAATCTCTGGAATCTGATTTCTGTGTTGAAGAGACTCGTGGTTTTGATTCTTTACCATAACAGTGGGCTAAATTCAATTACATGGGTCTGAACTCCTCCCAGCACTTGCAAGTACTTGGAGTGAAGTGTTCAGATTTGACCTACATATAATGTCCAAACTAATTGTCACAGTAACTTGAGAGCTAGGAATTTTTTATGGCTTTTCATGCAAATGACTACTTCACAAGAAAAAGTTATTCAAAGATTGATTTCTGTTTATTGCCAAGTTCGTAGGAACAATATATGAAAGGCTAATAAGTTTTTATAACAGTGTCTTTTCCACAGCCAGAGCTACCACGTCTGTAACTTACACCTCTAACACCTCTGCTGCTTAGTGTAGCCCAAAATCAGCATTAACAATGCCAGATGAAATATATTTTTCCAGTGTCCAATCTTTGCCATATTTATGAAGCTATGACAATGCATATGTTTTAAATCCAAAGTATCCTTCAGATTGTAGAGATAGATAGAATATAGCTGGATTCCTTTTTTACTTTCAGATCTAAATATCTGCTCAGCTTCAGCATCTGAGATTGCCATTACTTTCTAGTAGATATTCAAACAGCCAATTTGAAGAGGCCTAAATTTCCTTCACTTCTCTGTTTTCCCTTAGCAATCTCAGCTATAAATAATTAACATATATATGAAGCTTAAAAACTGTTTGAAACAAGCAGAACTGAATCCATTCGTATAATAACCATATGTAATAATTTGCTGCATTACTCATGATATGAAAATCTAGTCAGATTTGTCATAGGCTAATTTTTCTTGCTCCCACTGCTTTCTTAAAACTCCTCCGTTTTCTTGGCCTAGAGGAGGAAAGTCATATGTACTTTCTGTCTTTAAAACAGTAATATCCTTTGCCATATCCACAGTTAAACACACTATGTATCAAAGTATGTAGGATTAAAGTAGCAGAAACAATCCAATGAAACTTGATTTTTTTAGAGCATCTCTCGAACAGTATACCAGTGAAACGTTGCATTTGTCCTTTCTTTCTAGGCATCAGAATTCCTTTCCTTGATATTTTCTACTTAGGGAAACAGGAACATATGTTTTCCATTCAGGGGCTTCAACAATCACCAATGTCTGGAAAAATTTTTCCAACCGCTAGTAGCTCCTCAAGGTACTGGACTTGTCAGCATTACAGTCAGTATCTGGGCTGCATGCAACAAGTAAACTTCAAAACTTTATGGATATGTGCTTAGATAAATGTTTCAGCCGCTTGAAGCTGTCAAGGAAAACAGGTAAGCTGAGCTGTATGGGAGTCCCTTCCCACTTGAAGAACACCCCACAGAAAGAGTAGGTTTGCCCTGCTGTTCCCGGAGAGTTACAAGCTGGAAGCTAAAACACAGACCTGGATCTAGCTCAGTGGAAAAGAAGCAGAATTCTGACCTGAATGCTAATTGCAATTTGGCAAACACTACACTTTACAATCTCTGAGGACCCTAGGTATCCGTTATATACTGCTGCTGCAACCTAATGATTAAAAGTTTAAGGTAGCCCTTAAGTACCTGCTTCATTTTTAAGTGCTCAGGAGTTTCAGGGAAGTCAAGGGTCTAAATTAGATAGTGTACTACGGTAGACCAAAGCAATGGTTCTATATTTTGTTTTAAAGTTAGGCATATATTTTAATATACCGGTATCTTCTAATGTTCTTATTCTTTCTCCTTCAGTGACTCAGAAATAGTATTATATTTTAGGATTTAGAAGGATGAAAGAAACTACATGAAATAAAACTGTACATTTTTTTTTTCTTTCTGTTTAGTAGAGACCCGAAGAACATTGATATTTTTTACTTTAAGCCTTCATTAAACTATAATGATTTTTTTTTCAGTTTAAACCTGAGATGAATAAAATTGACATTTCATTTTTTCACACAGTTTTGTGGAACTAAAACTCCATGGAAAGGGCTGTAAGGTTATGCTTGTTTGGCAGGTTTCTCAGTTGATCATTTTAATTATGTTATTTTACTATTTCAGTGTAATATTTTAAGCTACCATAACATTAAAAAATGTTAAAGTTCTTTTTTTAGATGCTGCTATGACCTTTAAAAATATCTAATCTAGGTATTTAAAGGCTTTATAACTCATGCGCTTATTTTAAAAAGAGTGTAGGAGGATAATCAAAGAAAGTCATTTTATTCTGAGTAAAAAGAGAAGTGAACTAATTCTACATTAGTAAGAATGCTTTTATAGAAATTTGTCCTTCAGTAGCATTGAATAGCTTTGAATATTGAGGTACCGTAACACCACTTTAGTGTCCTTCAAGTTAGCTATATTTCAAGTTAATTATCTGTTCTAAAAGTCCTTCCTATCAGAATTGTTTGTTTTTTTGAGTTATTTTTATGATCCCCACAAAGTTTTCCATCTGCAGCCTTTTATGTTTTGGTGATGTTAAACATGTGCCTGGTCTTAACAACTTCTTTTGTGGGTATATAGCGGGAGATACACCAATGTCTACACTGCCTAGACACACACATTCATACGCTACATCCATGGGACCTACATAGCTGCCGTCAATAGACACGCACACAGGTGTCACATGGAAAAAGTACTGGCCTCGTGTCATTTAAATCACATCGTTCCCCGTGAGGTCACACATGCCCTGGGTCTCCACTCACCCTCGTGGGGTCACATGCATCCTGAGTCCCCGTTTGCCCCCATGAGGTCACACATGCCCCATATGCCTGCTTGTCCCTCCGTGAGGTCACGCGTGCCCAGTTTCCCCACTTTTCCCCTCAAAATCACACATGCCCTGGGTCCCCTGCAAAAGCTATAAAAAATAGTAGGATCCAGATGGTAACTTTTCTTCTTTCTATAGTACTGATAGAAACAAAGCTCAGAAAGCATACAGGAAAAAAAAAGATTTGACGATAGAAGTAAGTGCCTTCTAGTGTGAAATTTAAAGAGCTCGGTTTTCCACTGGTGAGTACCTTCCTAATGATAAAATATAATGCATTGAAGGACACTTCAGAGGGAGAAGGGAAATACATGAAAACACCTAATGCTAGATGCCGAGCAGTTAGAAGTAAAGCAGACTTCAGTTTTTAAAGAAGTTATATACATGTATATGTATGTATGTATGTATATGCATATTATATATAAAATATACATCATATACATACATACAAACACATATACATATTTATATCATATGCAAAATGAACCTACTGGTGGAAACAAACTTCTGAAAAGAAGACAGTTTTCCGTTGCTTGATGGAAATTCAGAAAGACTAGATGCCTTTTGGAGAGATATTGGGCTGCACAGTTAGGAATTAGAAAAAATCTACCAGCCTCCAATGTTTAAGCCTCATTGGACTCCTCTTGTTCTCACATTTGTTAATCTGTGCTCAAAAGATAGGCTTGATACGCAGCGGGAGCATACTGTAATGGTTTTTAATTAGACGTTAGACATGTAATTGGAAGTGAAAACTCATTTTTCTCTTCTGTCAGATTCACGGTGCCTGTCTGCAACACAGCCCACCCTTGGCAAAATGGCCAGGATATCACAGCTCTTGGGACAGGAGTGTGGGTGCACACACTATCTGTGAACGGAGCACCGAAAACCACCTGAAAGGGCATTTGCCCCAAAACAATCTTATTAAAGAGGAAGCCACCTGCCAGCCTGTTAAACAGTGACTAGGAAACTGCAAGGGGATTTTTGAAACAAAAGCTTGAAAAAGAGTATACAAGAAGCATGAAAATTTGTAACAGCAGGGGGGAGAGAAATAGAGAGAGAGAGAGATAGGCAGAGAGCTGGAGGGGTACTCTGGCAGAGCAGCAGCTGCCCCAGTTTGGTGCTGTAGAAGTCACCGCACGGCACCACGACTCCCTTTTTTGCCGCTTTTGCATGATTCCATTATTCCATTGAATGACAGAAGTGCAGTGCAAGTTCATATTGAGTTGTCCACCAAATATGGAAATCTTTTCTGGGTAACTGTTTCCTGAAGTGTCATGGGCAAGACAGTTTGTATAAACAACCTGTAGTGGATCTGGATACTGGTATTTATTTAAGAACCACAGAGATTAGATTTGTTGCCCTACCTGATTACCTCACTCACTTGCCCCCTGCCAATGTTACATTCCCGAAGTCTCAATTTCCCTTCCCAGCAGGGAGGTCTCTGCTGGTCAGGGAAGGTCAGGCAGAAAGTCCTGTTGGTTCCTGCTGTGCAGCTGTTCACAGTTAGTAATTTCAGGTGTTACCAGACAAAGCCCTTGAGCATCCCCAGCATTCATTGTCACACAGCTCCCTGATCTTTGTTTCAACTGGGATCTTCACCTTTTTCTTTG